GGGCTGAGCAGGGCCATGCAGGAACCACTAAAGGGTCAGGTGCTCAAATATAAAACTCTTTTTTCTAATTAAACTGACATGAACACTGATTATGTAATAAATGACCAGAAAATTATTTATATTTATTTTATTAGACCAAAAATAAAGCAGAGCTTGAACAGTTTACAGCTCATATTCGATGATCTTCACGTCCCCGCTGGGTTCAAGTTGTGTGCTTTCCCAGTCGATGACATTTGCCCTCAGGAACTTCTTCCCATTGAACACGTCTTGGACCTGACTGATGGACAGAACATAGTCCCACATGTCCACGTCGGAGATCTCCCCAACAAAACTCTGTTTCGCTTTGAAGCCACCCAGTAAAGAATCTGGATCCTGACCGAGGACAACCGTGCCGCCTGGGCGGATGGTGTGACCCATCCGGTATATTTTGGTCAAACTTTTCCTGCCATTCATGAAGAGGGCCGTCGCACCAGAACTGGAGTCCCAGGTGACACACAGGTGGGTCTGCAGGGCACCGAGCCCAGGGACCTGGAAGAAGACTCCATTTTCACTTTCTCTCAGGTAGACGGACAGTCTGTAGATGTAACCAGGAAGGATTAGTTTGGGTATTTTAATGTGTTGTTTGTGTAAAAATCATCTTCTTCATCAGTTTGGAGAAAAACAGTAAATCTGACAGCAGGGTCAGAAAGTGGCATGATGATTTTAAATCTCTGGGACTTACCTGCCATCCAGTTCCCGCCACACATTCAGCTCATCAACATCCTGAGTTCGATAAGCAAACAGGATGACTTCTCTTTCGCCTCTGAGCTCTGTGGCCACWCGCATGCACAATGTGAACGCCGTCAGACTGAGAGGCTTCTGAGAGGTCAGGACCACATAACTGGTACTGGTCTCARGGGGGAATACCAGACTTTTAACAGCCAGACTCCCTGAGATGAGAACAAAGTTAGTCGACAGCATGAGTAGGAGTTAAAAAAGACAAATCTTGACAATAATTCTAAGCTCGTTTTTAGCACAAGTCAACTTTAAAATACTATAAGTCTAGTTTTCATATTTTTTTGTCTTCAATAAAAAAAAAGTTTAAACAAACTAATAGATCAGAAGTACGCACCAGCAAAGGCCACAGAGATGGTAACCAGAAAAAATATGACTTTCATTTTATTGGGAAAAAACTGTAAAAAGAACAAAACACTTACTTAAATAAACTTTTTTCCTTTTTTAGCATTTGTGTTTGAGAAAAGCGGTCCATGAAACTTACCAGACTGAGAAATAAAGAAGCAGGTAGTTCACCTGTATGTCCTCACAGTGCGTCAGGATTGGTGTGGTAGAACCCAAACTGCAGGCAGACTTAATCTTAAAGTTGAGAACAGAAATTAGTTTATTAACTAACAAAAGAAAATGGCTGACGTGGCAGCATAGAACTAAAAAAAAGAACAAGGCTTGAGACACGAACAAAGCAATGATCCAACAGGGTAATGAAGACATGACACCGGTTAAATACAACTGAGTGGCAGGCTGGAAAAACACTACAAAGCTACTGAGGATAACATGATGCAGGAAATGGAGAAAACTAACAGAAAATAAGAAAATATGACAAGATGACCAAACAACGAAACAGAAAAATTCTYACAACAACAACAACCATGAAACAATGATCATGACACTGTTGTGGAAAAAGAAAAGTTAAACAAAATGCAGAAACATGTGATCAAAAAAGTTCTTCACTATAATGGTCTCTCAGTAATTTATTGCAATAAAATGAGAGTCAACATGCATACCCCAATACAAGTTGAGTCTGGAGACACAGCCCCAGTGGCGCATCTTTTATACCTTAACAGAAACCAGTTCCAAAAACTGGTTATTTCTGACATGCGAGGAGCGGTTCTTTATCTGATCAGCAAAAATTCCTAGAAAGGTCGAAATTTGCTCTGAGGTCTTTTGACAAAAGGGAAAGCTCTATTTAAAATGTGGTAAACATCTTAGAGTGTGTCTTATCTGTTCACATTCCAATAGTAAAACACAAATAGTCCTGTGATCCAGTGGTGCAGAAGGCGTGTGTGTGCGAGAGGTTTGATTGGCTGTGGAAACTTTACATCATCAGTCGACATGATTCAGCATATGTTTATGAGTAAAACAAGAAAGAAACATAAGTAAAATACATTCAAAACATGATTACATGGGTAACAATTTCATTTTCCTTCACAACACAGTCCTGCTTTTAAAGCACCTTCCTCCTCAGACACACCTGAATGAACTCAGAAATGATTGGGGGGGAATCTGCTGAATCCCAGGCCTGATTGGTTCTGAGTGAGCGAATGAGGTTTAAGGCTGTCCTTGTACCATTGATTTGTCCATGTCTCATCATTGACAATGTTTAGTAGACAATGTATTTGTTGTAACATCGTTTCTTGGTAATAAATCTTACAGTAGCAGCTGACTGGCTGCACCTGGGTGCACCTGAAGCTCAAAATAAGAGTAAATAACAGCAAAATAAACTATTTGACTGGGAAGATTAGGCTTTTTTTTATTTGTGTGCAACCCACAAACTCAGCTCTAATACCCATCCAACAAATGCATGTTCCTTACAAATGTGGCTCAGCTCAAAAGGGAAATTAACAGGCTAAGAAGCAGAAATAAATAATAATTTTATTACTTTCATGCAAAGATTTTATATTTTTTCCTGATTTTCATGAACAAACTGCTCAGATCATCATGGCTCTCTTCAGTTTCTTTTCCAGGACAGGATTTCCTGTCCGTGTCTGCTGGACCCGTGCGGACCCGCTGCAGATCCCGGTCCTTCTGATTCAGGGGACAGGGACTGGTTTCTGGGACCGAGGAAGCCAGGGACAGCTGTGTTTGAACTGGTTTCTGTGGTTTCTGTTTCCGGCCTTCATTGTCTCAGACGAGCAGGAAGGATGAACCATCACACAACCATCCAGGCTTTTCTTCCCTTTTCTCACTTTATGGCTGTGAAGCACTTAAACTGTAAATCTGACATTCAAAACATTTAGTGGCCAAATACACAAACAAATGTGGGCTAGATTTCCTGATTCTTTGCATTTTTTTTTGTCCTCAGGTTTAAATAATCAGAATGTGAGAATGTGACTTGCTAACAAAAASTATTTGTTTAACTTTAAACCTAATTAGTGACGTTTTGTTGCTCCTCTTGTCTCCTGGTTTGCCACGTGAGCGACTCCCTTCCTGGAAAGTAAAAATTCCTTGAAGTATTGTGCTCTGTCTCTGGTTTGTTGCATGAAGAAACAAAAACTTGTTCCACTCAACACATCCTGGTTTGAACCACGAGACACAAACTGAATGACTGAAGAAACTAAATGAATCTTAGAAAACCAAAGTCTCTGCAGAGGCAGGGAACCAGAGAACTGATTCACACTCCAAACCAGGATCAGCGTTGAGTAAAAGACATAAAGGAAGATTTACTCAGAGGTAAATAAGGACCAAACCAGAGGTGGGGACTCGTCAGACTCAAGTCAGACTCAAGTCATTAATATTATGAGTTTAGACTTGACTTAAAAAAATGTTCAGAGACTTGGGACTTGACCCTGTTTACTTGAAAAAAACTCNAAAAAATAAAAATGTATGTTGCTTTGCTGACAGGTTTGTGTCAAACATAAAAAAAATCAGCATCAAAGCTCTTGTTCTTTGGATCAGGCAGAGTGATAAACGTCCCATCAGTCAGTTTTGTTTTCAGTTTCATGCAGTAAAATCAGGAGAATAAAAACTACTGAACTTACAGCTGGAGTCTGAAGCTCCACAATCTGCTCACTGGGAATCCATGTGGCTTTCACCAGGCTTCCTCTGCAGCGGCAAAAACAAAACAAATTTTCACATTAATAAAGCAACCTGTTTCAGTCACACAGAATGATTTGATTTAAACAAGAAGTTTTTGGTAACAAAAGTTTCTTGACATCAAAGCTTTTCATTTTTTCCATGCATTTTAATTATTATTTTATTAATGTAAAATAAAAGCTGGATGGAGACGACGGTTCGACTCACAGCCTCTCGACTCTCTCCTCTGATATGAGGCTCCAGTGTTCGTCCAAACTCTGCTGCAGTCGCTGTTTCTGCTCCTCTGAGTCGTTGGGGAAGAAGTCCTTCTGTCCTCTGACAGGGATTTTATGACTCCTGGAGCGAGCTGCGAACAACTCACAGGGACTGCAAACGTAAAGACAAAAACATTACAGCTGCAGGAGCTTCACGTTTTATTATTTTAGAACAACAACAGAAAACAAGATGCAGAAAATCTTAGGCTTTAATGAAGTCTTAGAGCTTATGCTTCCAGTTGTCAAAACTCAGACCAGGGCTGCCCAAACAAAACACTCATTCAGTAATTCATGTCCTGAATTTTACAGATTTATAAGGTTTCATCATTAATCAAACTATCTTACAAGTAAGGAAAAAATCTGAACAAAACCAGAATTTTATGTGCAACTTAAAGCTAAATAACATAAAAATTATTTTATCATTTTAAAAGGATTTAGCCCTCAAACGTTTGAGACAGAACACGACTGTAGAAAAAGCATTTATGGTTTATTTGATGTTTGAGTATTTTTAGTCCTAATTACTTGTAAATGTGAATATTCATGTAAAAACTACAGCTCACATTCACGTGATCATGAGTCATAAGATCATGATTCACTGAGTCACCTGTTGCCTTGTTACATTAGATGTAAAAACAGATAGCAAGTTTAACTTGTCAGTAAAACATTAAGATAAACAAACAGTGAACTTGGGGAAAAAAATATAAAAAAAAAAGTTAAAATTCAAGTGATTTTCACCAAAATGGACAACAGAGGGGGACAGAGAGCACGTTACTCATTAAACTTTGTTGCTACTCAAATGACTACAACTACAACTATCCCTATTCGTTTTTAATCGTTTAAATTATCTATTTAAATATTAGATTTAAGCTAACAATGTTAGCATGCACTAAATGAACGCACAGATGACAGGTTTGAAAGTTACGACAACAGAAAATAGAGGAAACAAAAAGCCACTGAAGACGAAAACGTAAAGTAAAATCTTTCTATTAACCACCTGCTTAAGGAATAAAAACTGCAAACCAAGCAAATCACCTTAATATCTCATTGTAGAATGTCTCTGTAGTTTCTGTCATGTTGTGGTCCGCCATGTTTTCCACACAGCGACCTGCGAAGCTCCGCCTCATCGTCTTCCGGGTCCTAACGCCCGTCAGGTTCAGTTGTTGCAGAAATTATGATTAATGGCCAGCAGAGGGCGGCAAATCACAAAGAAATCAAAAGGTTTCCAATGTTCTGCTCTAGAGCAGTTGTGTGGCCAAGATCTACTTTAAAATATTCATGAAAGACAACAAATAAAGACAATAAAAACATAAAACAATTATAGTAAAATGTGGAACATCCTGTCCCAAAGTCATGGACTAAGCTTATCTCAAGTATGTCTTCCAAGCTTCTTTTGCAATTCAACAAAATAATAAGTTAATAATAAGTTTTGTGCATTAAAGCACATTGGCCACCTTTCAAACCAGAGT